AGAAATTTACTTGTGTGTGCATATTGAGTATATTATAGTGCAGATTAATTGTCACATTGTTTGTTGCATGTGCATGTCACAGTATATTTTCAAGAGTTTTTTTCTTGATATTGTTCAGTGAAGTAATGTAAGAGTTGGTGGCCTTTCCAGTAATCAAGCAGCTAGACAACGCAGTTTTTGGGTACTTTGCTGTGCTGAAATGCAACCTAAATGAAAATAATAGACTGCCATAAATACAAATTTAATACTAGTAAACAGGTAGTTTTTCTCTTTTCAGCTCACTTGATGCATTCTTCAAATACAGACATGATATTACAACTGTTCACTTTGTACTAACCATTTTACATTTTCTGTAACAGTAGCTCGTCTCTTGCCTAGATTGCAGACAGTGAGTATCTGGTGGTGGTCCCGTGCAGAGAGTACCACCAGCAACAATAATGGCGAGTGAGGTTGCTGCTCCTCTAGCAGTTTCTTGCACTGGAGCTCGAGGAGGAGCAGCTACTTGCTCCACTAATGCCCTTACTCTTCTAAGCAATATTAAAAGTAACTGTAAAAAAATCATCACTGACTGACAGCTCTACCGTCACAGCTAGCATCCTTTTATATGATGGTGGGTGCGGTGGCTGGTGATGTAATAATAAGGCATAGATAATTAATTGAGTAAAATATGTACACACATATCTATACATACACAGCCGAACTGCACCCTCCCTAAACCGGAAAAATTTTCTTTGCAACCGGAAAAGGTGTTACCTAAGAAAATGGCTGAACTTAGGTTGTACTTTGTTTTTAGCTGGAAATCTTTACTGGACCACTATTAAAGCTACTTTATGCTATCATTTTGATTACTTCAAGATCATAAATGAAATACTTTTAATGGAGAGTCAAAGTTCTATGTTCTATGGCAATAAAAGGACCATGTGTGACATTGCTAAATGGAAAGGAAAAGCAAGAAAGCTATTATTTCTATACCCGTAAGTGGGACAATGAATGTTTAGTTTTATAGTGTTATAATAATGGTTGTAGTACAAACGAAAGTTACAGTATTACGTTAGCTATCACTTGTCATGTATTAGTAGTCCATGTTGTTTAACCATGGGCCACAGTATGATGCAGATGTGTTGCTAGATTTATTCTCTACATTTGCTGATGGTGTAAACTGTACATTGTTGTTTGTGTTGTGTTTATTTGACCTTCAAAATTATCATCAAAATTATTTTGTCATATAACTTATGTCAGGGCAGTGGTGGGTAAATGCATGTCCTGATTTTGGGCAGGAACCACAAAAGGCACAAGGGGCAGGATGATGCCACTTTTTATGTATGTATGTATAATGTGTTGCACATTAGAAAATATCATTGTCATTGCTGATGATTCCTGCAAGTTGTCGTATCTGTATTCTTTCACCATTACATGCATTTGAATGTACAACCTGGATGCAAACATATCTTATATAATACCCTCTTTGATTTATCTCTTTTCCATTTAGGTATATATTCCTTATCATGAGCGTGACGTTTCCCCTCAAGGTATTTCTTCAGACAAAGAAAGGAATCTGGTGTTTAATGAAAAACTACTCCATTTTATTGCTATATACAGGAAGATCAATGCATCAAATCTTATACCTACCTTTAACACAGAACAGATTCTCTCGGCCATCTCTAAAATAGGTTCACATAAAATTACTTATACTTGAGACAATTAATTTTAGTTCATATTATTGTAAAATACAAGTTTATCTATTGCAAGACACTAATGAAAGCTACTATACTAGGAAGTACCAGATTTGTAGTAACATTAAATGCAAATGATATTATTTACCTACCACAAAAATAACAAGACTTCCAAGACTACTGATATGGCACACGTGCAATGTATATATATTGCCTTATTCTATCAAAATTTCAAGGTCAGAATCATGAATACTTTTGAGATAATAAATTTTATTATTCTAAAATTCA